TATTCTTAGTGAAAGCAATTACGAGTTACATAATTACTTCAATGGAAAAAGTGAGCATAAAGCATGTGACYTAAAATTCCAGCCTTGGGCATTTTATTATGACATTTTTATTTGAAACTTATGTGAAATAACAAAGCATTCTCCCCGTATCCGGTAGATGGGGAGACACCAACTAAATTTTGCGGAAAAAGCTTGTGTTTACTTGTTGCTTTCGCCGCTTAGTAAAGTATAAACTGTAAATAAATGCAAAMTGCTAAAAGTTTGCAAACGAGAATTGTCAGGGACTTTTTACATTTTCGTACGAAATTCTCTTTCTTTTATATGCACTTACTCAAGGTTTGTGCATAGTGCTGTTGTGATAGTATTTTAAAACGTATCTGACAATAAGTAAATATATAGGGTGTTTTTAGGAGTGCATRTATAATTTTTTCAGAGGAATCACTTTGAAACTAGTTGTCACAGTAAACATATGTACTGCATTTGACATTTTTTATATCTACATTGATGGATTAAAGGGTGAAATAGGAATATGAAGACCCCTGCGGAACAACTCATATCGTGGAACACAAGCAACACAAGGCATTTCATTCAGTTTTTTAGTGGAAGTGTATATGGTGAGCTAACGAAAACGCCTTTACTTCTAAGTAAAAAAAACAAAAGCAACGTAGTAACTTTGTAGGGGTCATCACGGGGCACCTACAACTTTCAAGATCGCAGCTTCAGAAAATGGCAAAGTTGGTTTCGGTGGAATGCAGAGTATCCACGGAGGATGGTGAAACGTTGGTACATTATATTTGCTAATGCTTAGATTTAAGACGGTTGATAGCTTCTACGGCTCCCTATACTCCAACTTAAGAGACATTGGCCAGCTGCTCTCAGGTTTTTCAGCAAACCCAATTCATTTTTTTTCAATTGAAGATGGGGTCAAATTTACTATCGAGACAGGACAGGACTAGATGCAAATAATTCTACACTTTTTGGYGCTTGGACCATGCAATAAGCCACTTAATCATCACTTATACGTAACAATAAATAAGGAAATGGACCTGAAAATTAGGTTCAGCAGTCGAATTTCTGTACTAAGCATCACCAACAAAGCAAATCAAACCAAAAAATTAACATTTCTATTCAATTTCCATTATTATTAAAAACATACTAAGTTCCATGGCTAAGGAAACACCCTGTATCCTTCTCAATTGCACAACCCATACGAAACTCATTTCATTTGAAACTGTGTACATATACATACATATTTAATTACATTTTTAGAACGCATTTTATTGTATAATGAGAATTAAAATTGGCTTTCATATGCATTGGCCAAAACATATGGAAGTCATTACATCGCAGAGAGCCATTACAATTTTAAGTGCATATCTAAGCATTTATAAAAGCTTATACGTCTGCACGTAAACTTACAAATGAAAACTGTAACCAAAAGCAAAGACAAAGAGAAATTTAAATTTATAAAATACACTCTTAGGAAGTCTCTGTTATATTTACTGTGAAAATTATAAAAATGACTTCAAATGAATTGAAATATTTCAATTTAATAATGCCTTCAAAGCATTTTGCCCAAAAAATGTTTARCACAATTTCAAAATAATTGTAAGTTCTGCAATTTTATTAAAGCATATCAAACAGCCGAGGGTGTTTGACGTTGTCAATGAATAAAATTAAATATTTGTTAAGCGCGTCTACCATTTGGGTTTGGCCGAAAGAAGGAATATGCAAAAAACTCGAAAAGTCGGATTATTTAAAAGCCGTAAAGTGTCCGTAGGAATGGGTATGTTTGTTGGGCGTTGTAGAGACTGTTGTCAGCAAAGCTGGTGAATGTTGTGTCTGATGTGGTTGCGGAGCAGTGCGTTGATGTGAGAATTGCTGTGTGCCAGTGGTATGCTGGTGTGGMGGAATGCCGAGGATTGTTTGGATTGTATGGATGACGTTGTCGAGGAGTGTCAYATTAAACTACTGAAACAAGTGCAACAAAGGAGCTGAAGCTTATCCACGATAGCCAACCAATACGTATTCAAATGAAGTGTGGGGCAATACTTGCGGTTACCGGCTCAGGATTTTAGGTATTTAGGATTTTTAGAATTTTTAGAACTAAGCACAACACTTTCATTCCCCGGTTGTGAAGTTTGGTTTCAATTTCGAAATCTTCATATTCACTGACGGATCAAAGGGTGTAGTAKGAATAGCTGCGGGCGTTTTATGTAGTAATCCACTAAATGACGACAATGTAGTTTTTCAGGGCGATATTATGCGCAAAACTGAAGCTGCCCAGTGGACATCTTCTTCTTCTTTACTCTTYCAACAGAGTGGCAGTGTGCTCACCCATTCTGTCGACATGACCTAGCCAGCGTAGCTRCTGTCTTTTAATTCGCTGAACTATATCAATGTCGTCATATAGCTCATACAACTCATCGTTCCATCGACTGCTATATTCGCCGTGGCCAACGCGCAAAGAGCCATAAATATTTCGCAAAACCTTTGTCTTGAAAACTTCTAACGTCGACTCATCAGATGTTGTCATCGTTCATGCCTCTGCACCAAACAGCAGGACGGGAATAATGAATGACTTATAGAGTTTTGTTTTTGTTCGTCGAGAGAGGACTTTACTTTTCATTTGCATACACAGTTCGAAGTAGGACCTGATGATATTGATGATTGTTGTTGCTATTAATTGTGGTTCCAAGATAGACGAAATTGTCTACGTCTCCAGACTTATGGCTGCCAACAGTGACGTGAGGGCAAAGGCGCGAGAGCGACACTCTTTGTTTGATGACGGGAGATACTTTGTCTTGAACTTGTTCACTGCCAGACCCATTTGCTTCGCTTTCTTATCCAGTCTGGAGAAAGCAGAACTAACGCCGCGGTATTGACGCCAATGGTATCGATGTTATCGGCGTATGCAGAAATTGTGCACTCTTATAGAAGATAGTACTTTCCTTATTTAGTTCTGGAGCTCGAAGTATTCTCTCCAGCAGGAGGTTGAAGAAACCGCACGAAAAGGAATCGCCTTGTCTGAACCTTCGTTTGGTATCAAACGGCCCGGAGTGGTCCTTACCGATCCTGATGGAGCTTTTTGTATTCCTCAACGTCCGTTTAGATATTCCAGGTCTAAAGCCACACTAGAAAGGACCAATCAGTTTGTTGAAAGTTGGCTTTAATCTTCCACGCAATGCGTTCGATAGAACCTGATGTTGAGGAGAATTATTCCACATTAGTTTGCGCAGATAGTGGAGTYTCCCTTTTTGTGGATTCTGGTCTAACTGCGTTAGGTTATGCAAGACACCTGTAACTGAACATTAAGTAACACGTTTAATATCATCTGGSTACCCGCTCAGATGGTAATAGAAGGAGATGACAAAGCAGAAGATTTGGGTCGCTCGGTAGCAGTTGTGGCACAATTCCCCTAAGCTACTCCAGACCATTTAGCTTTCTGAAGAGTTTTTTGAAGCAATTGACTCTAGAGGAACACCGCAAGAACACTCTCAACAAAGGTTCTTTTGGGGTAGTGTTGATGATGGCTTCTACTCGTATGCAAAAAAAAAAAAAATCTTGCCTTAAGAAAATGAGAAAATTAGATTCATTGAAATGCAGAACGTGAGGCTCCCAACATACCAACTTGGAATACATTGGAAAACTGTGATGAAAARGAAGTAGGACTTGATGACTAGACGCGTCCTTTTATTTATCCGCAGAATTCTAGTAAATAAGAATAACGAAGTACTTGGGCTTTAACAAAGAGAAATATCKTATGTGCTGTAACCGACATGGCAATGATCACCACTTTTAGATTCCATAAAATCAGCCGAGAATGCTTAAATTGTTAAATGCACAGATTTTAGGTTAACTATTTGATGGATGGGCCAACAACGACSAAGAATTATTTAACTTCTTCAAATTTAACTAATTCAAATGATCAGTGAAGCTGTCAAAAGCAACCGTTAGGTAAGCGAAACCATCTCATGTTCGTTATATGCTAAGAGCTCATATCTACATATGTACATATAGCATTCGTGCCTGAGGCTTGTGATTTTTCTTGGAATGACTTTGCAGAACTGAATCTAGCTGTGAAAATAATAGACTTTTCATGCACAGCTAAGTATCTGTGCTACTTCATTGTTGCGTAAGCTGGATTTATCTCATCGTACTAAATGCAATTTCTGTGAACGATTACGCAAAACTGTGATTTAATTATTTCGATTATTTGCAATAGCAAGCAATATATTTCCATTCTTATGTATTTGCGATTGTTGTAAACTGGATTTAATGATTATTTGTGCCTTGGGAAGCCGTTGTTTGTTGCACATAATAACAAAGAGCTAATTAATTAGTTAGCAAAGGAGAACAACGATTAATGAGTTCCATTTGTGGCTATTGGAGGGAATTTGTGCCAAGATATGCTGTCTTCTGTGTGCAATCTGCGTGGAAGTAATTGCTTACATTACACTTCGACATTTAGGTATGTTTGAATATATATTCAGTTACGCAAATAGTTGAATTGTAGTTGAATACCATTGCTGCAGCCAAATGAGCCATGCACTGGTCAGTTGCTCGGCCTTATAATTTATCAAATTTGTACACTCGTTGAAGTGGTGAACTTTTGCAGTAATTCTTTAGCTCGAGTCCATCTTCTTACATCACTGTATTAATGAAGAGAATTTAATAATATTTAAGATTATATTTGGTTATGTTTGGCAACTGCCAATATACTCACAAAGACTAATCTAATTAAGTTGATAGCCTTTTTAGGCTCTGTGAGAAATTCGTTCACGGCTGTATGCGATACTTTTGCCGATTTGCCATTTAACTGCATTATTTGCAAATTAGTCAATGTGTTTAGAATATATGCATATTTAAAAAAACAAAAAAATGTGGTGCTACTATAATTGGTTTAAATGAAACATGCCTTAAAATAATATATGTTAAGAATATTAATACTATTACATATTTTTAATTAAAACAAATTATTCTTCAAAATTAAATTACAGATAAAGTTCGTATCATTGAAAAAATAAAAAAAGGAAATTTTTTAAAGACTTCTTCATAACAACTTGACTTATAGCACTATGGATGAATTTCCCGTCTTACAAATACCTGATGATGAAGTACTCGAAGAGGAGGAATTCGGTAAGTTAACTTTGAATTATATTCCACTAAATATGTATATATATAAATCGAAATTTTAATTATATAATAAGGCTACAGAATGAATGATTCTGCTGGTTATGGAATATGTCTTTAGATCACTGAACAACTTCACTTGCTTAAGCTTTTCAAAGCAAATATAAAATCGAACTTAGGTAGAGGATAATGGTAGTGGAAATTTACTAATAAGAACCTAAAGCAGTGGCTAACTTAATTTACCATCCGATCAAATTTGAACCGGACTGACAATAAATAGCCCACAACATAGGTTACTTTTCAGCCAATACAAATATACCAAGAATTAATATAATTTTTCTAACACTTGACTTTTAGTATAAACTGATTAACATCGTAAACAGTCTGAATCAATTTTGATCATATGATATTCATGGCTGAAATGTAACCAGATATAAAATCGAACTCAGGAAACTTACTAATAATAACCTAAAGCAGTGACTATCTTAATTTACCATCCGATCAAATTTAACCYGGACTGAAAAATAATRGCYCTAAAAAAATTCTGAGTCTTATTCTAACTTATAATCCTTACGATCTTGGCTAAACAATTTTAAATTCACATTTCATTAACTTATGAACCAATAAGACATCTCTCTCTTAAGGTGATTGCATAATCTTAGAAAGTGACCCGCTATAAAAGCGTTTGATAAAAGAACTATAGTTTGAAGTTTTAAAAAAACACTTACCACACTCAAAATCTTTTTCGGTCGTAAATATATCAGCTCGATTTTTGTGATCTTGGATTAAATTACTTAGAATGCCGTTACTGAAATACTCGTTCGAAGTATATCGCTTAAGCAATGAATTTAAAAAGTGTTCTATGTTATTTTCAAAATATGTTTGCAATAGATCGATTTCCTTATTAATAAATTTAAAATCTTATATAAAATTTCTTATACTACTTGCAGAACGTCTATACTCCGCTCCTATTGAAATTGTCATAATACTCTCCATATTTTACGGCGGCATCAGTATTTTAGCAATCATTGGCAACTCATTAGTCATTTGGGTGGTAATAACGGCCCGACAAATGCGTACCGTCACCAATACATACATAGCAAACTTGGCTGTTGCCGATGTCATCATTGGACTCTTTTGTATACCGTTTCAGGTGAGTACATGGAGCAATTAAACACATGCATCGCCACATATATSCGAGAAGTACCTTTGGTCAAGGTTCGCATACTGTTGAGAAAGCATAATATTTGCGTAGTCATGCAAGCGAAGCCAATTTGAACTATGTTTCTGAATATATAGGGTGCTCTTTTAGTTCTATAATTTTGTTTTGAGAAGTTTAAGGTTATTATTCTAATGGAAATCGATATTCTACCGATATTTATAGACTGTAAAAACAATGTTAAATATTTTATTTTATATAAACTAATATAATTTAAATCTTTTCAGTTTCAAGCAGCTCTTTTACAGCGTTGGAACTTACCCTGGTTTATGTGTGCCTTTTGTCCTTTCGTGCAAACTTTGAGCGTAAATGTTTCCGTTTTTACATTGACCGCCATTGCGATTGATCGACATCGTGCTATCATCAATCCTTTAAGGTAAGAAATTGGGAAAAGGGGTTTCCTCGGATAAAAAAAAAAAAATGTTTTACAACATTTTGCTTCATATAAAAAATGAACYATTTTATTAGAACTTTTTATTGTTACAAACGCACACTAGTAGCAAAGAAATTTTGAAATTTTTGGAAAAAATTATTTAAAACTGGGCCATTGTGACGCCATTTCCGGTGAACCCTCCGAAAAAAAGATTGGCATTGACAGGATAATTCCTTAAAGGATCATCTGAAGTGAAAAATACGTGTTTTAGTTAAAATCTTAACTTAGAATTTGGGCAAAGACCAACAACGTGAAATTTAGATTTTTTGCCAGACATTTTTACAAAGAAAATGAAAATTTCAATACATTTTTTTTAAATAGTTGTAATCGAAAAAAGATCCTTTCAAGTCTCTAAGAAATATACCTCAAATTTTTGTCCATAAATAATATTTAATATGCGATATACTTTATGTGGAAAAGAATTTATGGTGTGAACAGAAATCATTATACCATACTTAAATAAAAATTTTATTATCGCCTTCAAAATATGCTCCTTTTGATACAATATAAGCATGCCAACRCTTAGTCCAATTTTCCCTACAATTGTTATTAGCCTTGACTGTGATGGCCTCAGTGTGAATGAGTTATTGGCTTCAATGGTTTTATGCTGCGTTTCCCGATGCTGGCTCAGTGGTCATAGCGCGTCAAATCTATTGAACACCGTGGCTGAGTGATGATTTTTGTTTCGTGTCTGGCCAAAAAATCAATCATGATCACGATTCCATTTTGGTGTGAGTGCAGTATTGACACGCTTCGTACCGAAAATATTCTAAAATACCAAAGGCGATCTATATGAAGTGTTGAGAGCATCTCTCCTCTCATTGATGCCAACAAGACATTTTTCCAACACTGTTTCTTAAATTTTTCCGATAYTAATGTCRTTGGCAGAATTAAATTTKTTTATGGYAAAAATCAACAGTCAAACCTCTCGTGAACGTAAACAAATAACTGCCAAGCGGTCACTAATTAGAGCACTTCATATAAACATAGTAAAAGGTCTTACCGATCTGGGAAAAGTTTTTTGTTGATAAGTTTTACATGCGAGCAGTTTATATGGACAAGTCCGGGTTGAATGTGATCACATAATGTACTACTTTAAAATGCCTCCATCGTATGTTCATGAGTGTTATAAACTTCATGGTTTACATTCGGTGTTTAAAAACTTTATTTACTAAAAGACATATAATATATGAAGTCCATGGCATTAAAATCCTCATTTCTACCACTGAAGTGAGGGGCATCATATTAAGATCGCAATTTATTTTCTTTAGATACCTCCTTTTATGCTTGATTTGTCCATTGGGTCTCAAAGAATTTTAATCGACTTAAAATGAGTTTAAAGTGACATGGTGATTTAATTTTGCTATTTAAAATACGTAAATTTTAAAATAATAAAATATTTGATTTATTTTCTGCTTCGGAAAACACTTTTTAATTTTTCTTCTTCGCTGCGAAATTTAAAAATTATATTAAAATACTTGCAGTGAACTTTTACTTTAATATAAATGCTAATTTTTATAGATTTCTCCTATTTAATTTAATATCGAATTTATTTGGATGAGAAAACTGTTAATCGAATTCCGAACAGAAAAGCAAAAACTTTTATTAAGTTTTTGCGTCACAAGTGTTTAGCGTTTTAATTTTTTCTCTCTACTTTTCCACTTGCAGAGCACGTCCTTCGAAGTATATTTCGAAATTTATTCTAGTTGGCATTTGGTTATCAGCATTCATATTCGCTAGCCCAATAGCTGTCGCATTTCGCGTGGAAGTGATGCATGAACGTTACAGAGGTAAGTTGCAAATAGTTATATATTATATATATACTATATATGTATCTGTTTAGTGTATATATATTGATATATCGTCACCTAAAGTRCAAAATAACGTAACATAAATTTTCATAAGTTCACAGGCGATGGACAAACGATATAACAGAAGCACTTACATTAAGAAAAAATTAAGTTTTGGTTATAAAATGGTTATATGTGACCTGGTCAACGAAAAGGGGGCTTAGGTGTCAAAAAATCAATTTTCACTTTTTAGTTGATTCGAATGGAAGGTGAGATGCTTTTTTTTTAACAGATAATTCCCAGAAAACTAGCTTTCGCACGTTAGCTCCCTTTTCGTAGACCAAGTCACATATATTGGTTATATCTGACAGTAGCAGCTGAAAATTTTATGCTACATAATATGTAATATGATGTAGCGAATCGTAAGCAATAAAAACTAAATATTGATTTGTTTGATGATACGTTGTTTTGCATTTTAAGTAATGATATGTACGTATATATAATAAAAAAACTTTTACGAAACTTTTGTGTTTATTTGTAATTTGCACAAAYATCTTTTATTTGCTCTATAAAATGTTTATGCAAAATCCCATAAATAAAGAGGATGGTGTCATCTACAATGTGACACGACCCTTCTGTACGAATGTCAATCTCTCGGATGAACAACTGAAGGCTTACCGTTATGCGCTTGTTGTCGTACAATACTGTGTRCCCTGCTGTGTCATTTCCTTCGTCTATGTACAAATGGCTGTGAAATTGTGGCTGACCGAAACGCCGGGCAACGCCGAGGATACAAGAGACATGGCGTTAATGCGAAACAAGAAGAAAGTGAGTTGAACAATAATTAAAATCACGTCATGTATTTGCGCATTGTGCGGTTTCTGTGGTTTGCGGATATCTGAATGTTGACCAGGMGGAAACTTAACCTCTAATTAAGCTGTTTATTCGCAATACACAAATACCTGYATGGCATTGTGGTGGCGAAGCTTCGCTCCTAATTATGCTATTTTTCTAAGAATTCGCCTTCGGCTAAGCAAACAATAATTCATAAGCAGCAACTGGATATTTTGTGCTCAATTACAGCACTCATTTTGCGTTTTTTTTTTTGTTTTGTTTTACTTTGACATGAAATATTTCTGATATGTAAGTGTAATTGTGTTAGTGCGCATATATTATTCTGCGGTTGACAAGGAAAAGGGTCACATAATATGCATCTGTTTCTTCATTATTRTTACGGTTATTATATATGTAACTCTTATTTCTTATAATTCTTATAATATATCATATATCTCTTCTATCAGGTCATAAAAATGCTCATTGTTGTTGTGATTGTGTTCGGCATCTGCTGGCTACCCTTGCAGTTATATAATGTGCTATATGTGACTATACCAGAAATTAATGAATACCATTTTATCAGCATAATATGGTTTTGCTGCGATTGGCTGGCGATGAGCAATAGCTGCTACAATCCCTTCATTTACGGAATTTACAATGTGAGTTTTACGAACGCATATACATAAATGTGTATATATAATTTTATAGCAAATTTGTGGTATTGGTTGTGGTTTAAGATAAAAGTAGCAATTATCGTTAACTGCGACTGCATCGTAGCGCTAATAGCCTGCGCAAATAAAAAAATTTTAGACGGTTTGCATGGCAGCTATACGTCATTGTAGGCCGATCTAAAAAAAAAATTCAAATATTATAGTGTTGTCTTGGATAATAATTTAAGCGAAATTTCGTGAAGATAACTCCTCCAATATAAAAAATTTCATACAAAAAATTTAATTTTGATGGTTAATTCTGTTTGACAGCTATATGTGAGCCCATATGAACAATTTCTTTAGATTTGATAGTATTATCTCAGAAAATAATGTGTGCTAAATTTAAAAAGATATCTCGTCAAATAAAAAAGTTTTCCGTATAAGCAGTATTTAATTCGCAGAACTCATAAGACAAAACGCAGATTACCGTGGCGTATACGCAACATTAACTCTCATCGCGATATTAACTTTCACTTCATGCAAATTGAGCTTTAGAGCTGCCATTATAGAGTATCCATTTGCATGCGTGCTTACCATTTTCGCTGTAAGTAATTAACACTGCGTTGCATGGCTTCATCAGATACATTGACGCAGGTGCTGGATTATAGCGGACATAAAGATATTTTCATGTTGGCAAATCGCACCATCCCATTATTAATTGAAGGTGAAAAACCCTGAAAGGTTCCGGGCTGCAAATGCGCTCAGGTGAAAATATTTTATATTTTGGTAAAATTAGGAAGTGTTTCGCAATGCCTGTCGAACTAAAGTCGTCAAAGTAGTAATTGCAAACTCGTGACAAAGCGGTGATGTTAAAGGGGTTAGGTTCTAAGTCCTTGCGTCAGCTGTGCTGAGCTATGACTATGCATATTTTCGAAATTAAATTTAAATGTAGATAATGTTTCCGCTATCATATTGAGCATTCTCTTSCCTTAGTATGAAGTTTAGGAAGAAACAAAATTTAGAACGATTTATTATATCTTATTATTATTATTTTTAAAGTTTCTAAAAATATTTGCCGATATACATACGTATAGAGTTTTTGGGAATAATTACGAACGATTGGTACTCGTTCCTAAATAATCAACTCTTACATTATTYGACGAAACCGTGTATGCATTACAAGCACACTTAGCATCTTTGGCGTTTTAAGCGTTAAAAACTACCGTTATATGAACAAAATATTACATTAATTTTTCTTGCTTTTTTCTACTTTCGGCAATTCTTAAAGTGTCTAAAAATTTGCCTACCGCTCAATTTCATTTACAACCCCTTCCATGTATTCATCTAATTCACATTGTTACCTCTAAATTGCAGGAGAAATTCAAACGTGAATTCAATAAACGTTTCAATTTGTGCTTTTGCAAATTTCGCACCAACAACGATGCCCACGAGCGCACCTTGTCTATGCATACGAGAGCCACCTCACTGCGCTCAAACTTTGCCAACTCGTCAATGCGTATACGTAACAATTTATATGCCGAAGCGACTGCTGGACAACACAAATCAGATATATACTACACATATCGTTATGCCAATATGCGACCGGGTCGGAATGGCAGTAACGCGACAGCGCACAATATCATTGCTTTGCCTCGTAAGACAATGCAAACGTATGATTACAGCAAAACTAATACCGAGTTGCATAATGCCGCTGCTGCGGCCAATAGTCAGAGTGTGCCGCAATGGCGGCGCAACAATTTCAAGCCACTGTATCCGGATGTAATTGAATGTGAAGATGACTTGGACACGCTGATGCACTCGACACCCACATCAGAGGAGCCGAATTCCAGCTCGGCGGGCAGTAATAAGGTGAATGTGAGTGCCGGACCAGGTTTCATATTCAAAACCACTGGGAAAAGTAAGTACCGCAGTGTGCGTGTAAAGCTAGACAAACACATTTTTGTTAAACTGTATTTTTGTTTTGTTTTTCCTTTTCATTGCCCCTCCAGGATAGCTGGGARCTTTGCCATGCTAACACAGTTACGTAGAAACCATGTTCAATTGTGCAGTGGAAATGGACCCAAGCAACAATTAAGCGTAAGGCACGCACATTTGGGCAACGGCAAGTCAAAGTCTTCGGCTTATTTGACCTAAGCTTCTTTTGGGAATGCATGTGCTTTGTGCCCACTTTGGCTATTGTTGCTKTAAATTTGCCGATTTTGACAATAAACCCCCAGTATCGAAGTGTGTTGCATATGAGACCGCCAGTGTTGACTCGTGCAAGCAATGTAAATAACATTTGCTTTTTATATGTGAAATATAAATGTTCGTTTGTAATGCTAAGATGTTCAATTCTAAATTTTCAGAACCACCCAAACAAAGTCTGATGCGTAGAAATCATGTCATCTGCCATGTTACTGACGAACCCGCCGTGGCTTTTGAGCAGCAATTAGAAATTCGGCAGAATTTATAAGCAATTACTAATGATTCATGATGTGCTATACTATAATAGTTGAATTTCAAGTTTATATGCATGACATACATACCTATCTATATGTGGTTTTGTGTGTTTTTTCAAATCGGATTTGTTATTTCAAAAATGACAAGTGTTTTTTGAGTTAAAACAATTTTCAAGTGTGATAATACCAATTAGAATTCTCAAAGTAAAATAAAAAATTAATCTAAATTAAGACTTAAACAAAATATTTGTTAATATAAATGCATATTTTGAATGACACAGGAAAGGTAAGTAAGTTTCATTAACTCTATTTAATATAAAATTTTATAAAGTTAATCAGGTCTGTAAATATTGTATACATAAACTTTTTGATATTTTTTTTTCAGAAAATCTTAAAAATATTATG